CTTTGACTCGGTTCAATATTGAACCACAACGTTTGTGGGTTGGCACACAAGAGACTAGGGTATGACAAGTTTTTTACCTAATTCTAATCATATTGGACATATTTATGGATGGTAAATTTAGCTATGCTTCATAGATTTTCTTTTTTTCGCCTGTTTGTCATGTCATCTCTTTGCAGAACAGGAAAACAATGGGAAATATTCACTTTGCTAACGAGTTTCGGGATCCTCAATTTCATCAGTTGAATGTCTAATTACAACCACTGCCTAGTTTTCTTTGGTTGATACTTTCTACGTTATCCTCTATGGCAAACCTTTATATAGTTTTTACTTATCTGTATTTTTTAGGATACTTCTCTAGTTCCTCCTCACGACGTGATCATGACGCCTAAATCACCTGATCAACGGGCTTCTTCAACAACCGGAATTACCTGTGCTACCCTATCTTTTTCGCGACCAGAGGTCTCAGAAAAAGTTGAACACTATGGTCATGCTGACCATATTAATAATTACCATGCTGCTTTTGTTAATGGTGGCTATGATGGCGGCAATGTTGACAGTACACGTCCCGTAGCCACTCCCCCACTGGCCACCACTGCATCTATGCCAAACCATATGCCTACCCTTAGTGGCTCAAGTAATGTCTCTCTAAATGACAAGCTGTCTGTGGTCCGTGGACGTCTCTCGCTACTGGCGGATTCTTTAGTTGATCTTCCTGAGGAACTTGGTCAGAGCGTACTTTTGGAGGCTTTGGCTGTCCTAAAGCCTTTGATGCGATAGCTTTTATATACCAACTATCTCCAATATCTTATATGCATTCATTTGTCCTGACCATTTATCCTCGGTTTTTTTCATTGCCGAAGAAAAGTGCCTTTTTCTAACTATGTCCAACTGTGCTTTATCTCACCTTTATTGACTGATACTTTGATATCTCCATCTATTTATTACGGTCTGACTAAATTATACATAATTAATTCGCATTCATCCTCGGTCAATGTTACAACACATTGCATTCTCAAGAGTTGTTTTTCTTTCATCTTATTATTGTGCCAAGGTCTTCATTATTTAGGTACACGAAATTAACCGAAAAACAACTATTCTTCGTATGTACAAGACGTGTTATAAAGAAGGTATATCTAGGAGAGTGTTAGCTATTAGGATACAAAAGGGGAGTAATGCCGTACTCTGGTTTATACTGTTGTGTCTACTCATTGGCGAGTCTTGCCTGGAGCCATGCGCCTCGAATTTGAGGGGAATTTTTGAGTTCGACCCTCATTTTTGCGTCAGTCTCTTATTAGACGCCCTTATCAATTCGGAATCGTCCACTCTATTCCTCCTGGCGAATAGGTAATTCATAGGGTCACAGGCATTTATTTCGGCTCTACGGCCCAAATAAACACCACTGCTTGCATCTGGCGAACAATGCTTATTCGATTTTGCTTAATGT